CGTGTGTAATATACATTGTACTCACCGTTTAACACTGATGGATTACCAGTGAATATGTTTCAGTGCACGTGCACTAGCGTGGATAATATAAATAATATGTTTGTATAAGTTGTCTGAGCAAGAAAATACCAATGCATTCAGTCATGACAAATGTTGACATTTTACAAACTTAAGTGAATGTGCAAGACACGAAATAGTATCAACGTTTTGTTACTCTGTTTACGTATGCTAATATCGAAAATCGGGTGGAAATCCGACGAAAATCAATAGACAGCAATCAAAAACAACAGATAACGAAAAAGGTGTTATGATAACTGTCGGTAGACGATCGGTCACATCAGTGCTTCTGACCATTAATTCAGAGGCGACTCCTTCAAATGACCACGCAGACCCAGTTGCTGAACAAATTGATGATCTAAGGGAGGCAACTCCAAGGAATCCAATCCGCACCGCGTAAACCAATATCAGCGAAATGAAGGAACTTCTCTCTCACACGAGATCGAGTCGAGTGTATTGACCAAAATCAGACACTGTAATGATTGATAACGTACACACTGGGGTATTGCTACTTAGATGAAGCAAATTGTTGCCAATACATCCTTCATATTTTGCCCCGAATGCTATTGTTTTACTGAATCGCGTTTAATTACAAACCTACATTGCTTCATAAAAGAACTGCAAACATACTTGGTTCACGAAACCGGTTCTCTATTAACTGTCAAATCTTGATGTACGATGCAATGTTTCAAGGGCTCATGTTGTCGTCTTCTGTAATGGACATAATATGATGGTTTTTATGTCAGTGAATCCAGGAAATATTATACCACAGTCATATTTGCTATTATTCTCAGAGGAGTGCATTGATCTTACAATAGACTGGTCGACGGCACCATTGGCAGAAAGCTATGCATATGGGTAATATTCGTGTTAATATCCTATTTGCAAAACAACTCATCACAATAACAATAAAAGAAGTAACGCGGCAACATAAAACAGCCGTTTGTATGTATAGTGTTCAGTGTTGGGTTTCGTAAAGATTGTGATGCTTGCCTCCTCACGATATTGCAGTGGGTAATATAACGCGAATGTTTATGACCGAGGGCCTGATCTTTATAACATTCGTAGTATCTTGGCTGTTTCTGAGCCGATGATTTCCCTTTCAGAAACGGACATAATCTCATTGCTATCACTCAAATACGGATCTTTTGAAGACATTCACAGACAAAAGTATGTTTTGCCAATACAAGCATCGAGGTTTTTGTCCATGGCATATAGATTTGGATGTGTGGAAATCGATCCGGTCGGGAGTGTTTGTCAGGAAATCAAACTAACTGATCACCTTACTGACACGACTTATTTTTTGATGACGTTAAAAACTGTAGGACACCTCACAGCGCTGACCCAAATAGCAACCCACGTCCCTAAGGGCAGCCCGAGGTTTCACCGACTTAACATACATAAAAGAACACCATCCGTATGCTCCAATCATGGGAACCCTTTGATGAGGGATTATTGCTAATCCACAAAATCAGAATTCAACTTATGTCCCCGCATCAAACCAACACAGGGTCAGACGGTTCGGCTGCCGATGGAAGACAGCAATATTTACACTCCCTACAACCAGTGCTTGTGGCACGTAGACGGGATTCCACTCCGAAAACGTCGGGAGATATTCTATCCTGATACCACACTGTCCATGAAACCTAAATATTTTTACAGACAGTCTCGACTAAGATTTTTCTTTCCTAAATGTAATTTTGCTTAGATAAGTGATATTTAATCGGAGATTGGAGGAAGTCGTTAATCCGGTAATGGTCATGAAATGACGGCGTGATAACGCAGCAACGTTGACAGCACACGTTGATGCCTCCGCTGCAACGTCTTCGTGGACTGTAATTGTAAACGTGATAATACATCGTACACTTGACTGGTCATGAACATTGAAGTAATATGACCGAGCTGAAACAACTTCTCATCGCTGCTGATTAGGAGCATTTTGGTCAGATGATTGTATTTTAGAAGACCCCAAAAAATATATTAAGATGAAAGCACCCTATTATCATATTCCATAGCCAGGCGATTGGCTATCGTGTTGCCTTTGTGAAAAACATAATATTATTGATAACCACTGTCTGCAAAACGACTCTTATAATAGGACCCAAGGCAAGAAATGTGACGATAATATTTGCTTTCCACTCCAATGTATTCCAACAAGATCGAGCTTTCGGGAACATTTTGTAGTAATTAACGACTTGAATATTGGAACCGGTATTGAAGGCTAAGCCTCAACAGAACCAATAAATACATGAGCTAGATATATTCCAAACAACAGTTAAAGATGGCCTGCTGACATGTTTGGTTCAACATCAGGGCTATGTTCTTTGGGAAACCCAGTTTGACATTTCGTCGTTAACACCTCTGCCCTCTTTGAATAAGATTAGGGAGTCTTCTGCACAACCAACACTGCGAATTGAACACTTCGGGCCTCTCACTCCAAAGTCACAATTTGCATTTAAATTCTCACTATTGAAAGGTCGCTTAGAGACTGGAGACTTAGAGACAGGTTGTAAGCAGCAAAGGGTTTTATTAGAGCTGATGATCACTAAGCTCTGACAGGAGCCCCGGAATACGGAACCTCCCTGCATTATAAACTTGTCTAGGTACAGCCAGGGAGATTGCTTTTAGCAATTGATGAAGATAAGAAGGTGGCCATCTAGAGTTAATCACTTAAGAAAAGTAAATAAGAGCCTACAACACGTATCTATCGAAGATGTTGATTTACTGTGTTTGTCTGCGCTGTCATTGCTTGGTGAGAGGGGTTTCTTCTTTGGAATACCACACACTTACTAAGAGTGTCAGAGCGTTATGTTTCACAGCCGTTATGTATATACACGTGTAGGTGTTTCAGTGTGGGTACAGTAGCACGTTAAGGTACACCATCACCTTATAGTGTATAGAACATTCAGTTTCATCTTTCTTATGCTGTAGCCACCAATGCTCATTTCGAACCCGTTTAGCAGAATATATAAGTGACATTACAGATGCATATACAGGAATTACAGATGTATATACAGATGCATGAAGTTTGATAAAAACCGATGAAAAGATCGCCAGTACCCTTGGGGTTGATATCTTAGTCACAGAGATGAGCCCAAACGAAGCGATAAATTCCAAAACTTACAACCGCAAATATAACGTTACAGTGTTGACACCAGGTGTTCGGGAAATGATTTAGCATGTGCAGCCCTTATTGCAGTAGCAATCGTGGTCCATCGTCAAGGTAGGGCAACATAAGGTGGGACTATTTAAAATCAAGGGAGGTCTTCTCTCTCCAGATATGGAAAATTGAAATTTGTGTTTTGTTATATTAATGATCAGATACTAGGAAGGTTTCCGCGGTAAAATGTGGTTATTACAATATCCCACTGGTTCATAACATCCATCATTAATGAGAAGTCATCAACAAAGTTTGTTTCTGAAACCAAACATAAGGCCTTAACACTATCTGAAGGGCGCATCTTTAACTGGAGTGTATGGGATACACGTCCCAGACTACATCCTATCGATCGTAATAATCCACCGGACGAGCAACAGCAGAGCGACTCGAAGATTCCCTTTATTGGATTATAAAGATATTAAACCATACGGCATACGATCTTGTCCCTCAAAGAGACACGTGTTGGATAATCCTCTGCCGTTATATCAAATATACGAGCATTTTACGAACATAAAAGTTCACTTTATCAAACTAAAAGAGATATATCTGTTTTTGATTAGATTCAAACATCAGTGTCAACCCTTTTAATCAACGGTGCCGAAGCCATGGCACATATACCAACTATCAAACTGCCAGTGTGTAAAACCCCAAGTATATTTGGGTATTTTTTACGTACACGTTGTGATCTGAATTTAGAAAATAACTCTATGTCACATGATTGTTGAGAATTGATTAAGTATCTGGCGTGTTCCACTTTAAGTAGTGTGTTTAGGACTGGTCGATCTGAATCATGCTTGGTGTGTTTGTTTGTTTGTTTGTTTGTTGTTTAACGCCGCACTCAGTAACATTCAAACTATATGGCGCCAGTCTGTAAATGAATGGCTTGGATCAGACAGTCCAGTGATCAACAGCATGAGCAAATGGGATACGATGACATGTGTCAGCAGGTCAGCGAGCCTGACCACGCGATACCGTTAGTTGCCTCTTACGATCAGCATAACGAAAGATAACTACGATATACATAATAATTACCCTAATGTCAACATCACGGTTCACAAACTGCACTAACAAGGAAAACAATCGTTAGTGTGAATAAATAAGACTTCAACTGTCCCCACATGAATATTAGAGATTCAGTAGCGTGCAAACATGCAAATCGTGCACTCATCGTCGTCCGGTCACTCAACAGAGGTCACAAGGCGGCATTGCCCTCCATTTCTCTATCAGCGTTCAATGTTGCCTACGTTCTCTCAAGAATTAGGAATCCCTGATGGGACTCAATCCCAAAAGGTACTAGAGTCTGCACTTTGCTGAGAAAGAGTAACCCCAAATAAAACATGTTTTGCATTTGAACACTTTCTAAAAGACATTGTGTATTCAATAATGAATCATGTCTAACATTCCATGAACTTATTGTTTTTCTCTAAAACAGGGATTTTAGTGTTTCGTTTGATGGCGAATGTTCCAGTAATATGATACCATAGCTCTTCTCAATGTCACAAAGTGACATCAGACTTAGCATATATTCATGATAACTGCATGTTAAATTCTGTCAAATTCTTTGTCAGAAACTGGCCACAGTGGGAGAGTTTCTGGACTTTGCGGTTTCAGAATTAAGTTGTGACGTGTATTGTTCTAGGTTTTCTTTCAAAACAACCATACCAAACATTTAACATCCACCCATGTATGCTTTGGCCTGAATAACGTATAAGTTATTTTTCCATATGTTGGCAAAAATATATTCCTGTATGTATGCATTAGCAAATTTGTATTCCCTTTGCAGCCCCAGTGAGTTCGATGGCTGAAGATGCAAATCGACCGCTCCTTGCTGGTGATGCTGATAGCCTGTCTCCTACTAGTGGGTGGAGCCAGAAGTAAAGGTAAGAACTGAACACACGCCATTGGATACTGTTGAGTCCCGTTTCAGTTTGAAAAGGGCATATTTACCTGTGTATATGTACAGCAGCAACTGTCAACGAACCTTCTTGCCTACATGTACACGTGCCTTATCATATTCAGGGATACGGTGGTCTAGTTGTATGAAGCGTCGCGATTCGCCGTACAAAGTTACCTCCATGTGCACACCAGAATCCTATGATTAATAGTTCGAATCCATTGTTTTTGAGTTTGTCCGCACCATACCCGAGCTCGTGGGTATCAGCAAAATTACACACGCTTGGAAATTACACCAATTCGAGCTACCAAAAGACATTGATGTACCTACATAGCGTCAAAAGCAGCGTCAATCCCAACCCACTCACTCGCTCAGTCGTTCATTCACTCACTCACTCATCATGCGGGGTAACTTCCAATTCTGGTTTCACTTTATACCACGTTTTGTATTCGCGTATTAATTATTTTATTACCAAATATGCCCAATTCACTTGATTTATGATTTATGCTTATCATATCATATAAAACACATACTAGTCATTCCGCACATATGATGTGTAAGATTTATAAACATAATAATTAGTCATAACAGTTATATCAAACTTACGTACAACAGAAAGTACACCCCTGATATTTGGGGATCATTTTTCCATTGTGATTTACAAGTCACAAACAGTGTATACTCGCTGCCAAACACCAAAGCTATCCCTTACAGTATTGTGCGTGGGATGTCATGAAAATCTGATTTTTGTAATCGCACGTGCATGTTATGCGCCAACAGTTTAAAGCACAGACGATTGAGATTGTTAGTGGTATACCTGTTAAAGGCACGCATCAAAATACCAGGGTTATCAGCAGCGGAGGGAGAACAAGACATAGGAATGTGGCAGATGGAGGTTCGAACTGTCATTTTGCCAGAGCATTTGTCTATGCAAGGCTGACGATCATCCGAGTAATGATTGGTTGGTTTGGTGTTTAACGCCGCACTTCAGTCACACAAAAGTAATAGGCGCACAGTCCCCCTCCTAAATCGTCTGTTGAAAAATATTTACTTATCTCCTTCACTCGAAAGGATCATGTTTACTTCGAGGCACGTAACTTGCCATGCTTCTTTGGTGGTTGTTTATTGCCAGCCGCTGTATTCCACCTGAAGCGTATGGTAAATAGTCGAGCCTCGAACAGAGAATACGGTGGTGGGCATCATGATGAAGGTGACCGGATTCGATGCCATCGTCAAACCAGAATTACGTCAAACTCGAATTTCGTCAAACCCGAATTTAGGCTAGTCAAATCCGAAATCAAACTAATCAAACTCGAAATGAGTCGCCTCTTCAGTCACACAAAAAAGTGACTGAGGACCTTTTCTCTTTGGGGACTTTGAGCTAATATGAGATGAAGACAGTATTCTTTCCTAGTGGCGATTAGTTATTACTCGTAGACTAATCATGGAAAGGATAAATCGAATACAAGGAATACAAGTAGCTTATGGAAAAAGCAACATATGAGTGAGTGAGTTTAGCTTTAGGCCGCACTCAGCAATATTCCAGCTATATGGCGGCGGTCTGTAAATAATCGAGTCTGGACCAGACAATGAAGTGATCAACAGCATGAGCATCGATCTACGCAACTGAGATACGATGACATGTTTCAACCAAGTCAGCGAGCCTGACCACCTGATCCCGTTAGTCGCCTCTTACGACAAGCATGGGTTACTGAAGATCAATACCATCCCGAATCTTCACAGAGTAATGAGAGGCATCAACTAGTGGGGTCAGACATCTGACAGTCCTGCAACTGGAAGACCAAAAACGATCACCCCGCAGGATGACCATAACCCATTTATCTGCGCAAACGGGTGCACTCAGTAACGTCATCATTATCAACAGCGTTGGGTCACTACATCAACAGGAACACAAGGGCAGTTTTTGAACCTGTCATGAACCTGTTCTGGAAGGGATAGCCTTTGTAACGTTGACTGAATCGTCTACAAAGCCGAGGAACTTGAGGTGCTGGCAACGTTGCATTTGTATTCGATATTTGTATTGCTTTGGCAACGTATATATAATGTTTGTGACTTGTTAGTCACAATCAAAGCACCTTTCAAAGTACTTACGATACCTTTTGGAAAATGATCCCAAAGCATCAAGTGAGTACATGCATTAGTACAGCGTTAAATCCCTAAAGACATAACGATATTACAATATCGGATTCGTATTTGTGACCTACAGATTGCAGTGTTTCGGCGAATGTTTCAGGTAGTGACGGTTTAAGAACCTTTGTCATTTGGGGGATAAAACAATGTTTTCAGTATATCATTTCATTTGCCCGTCTGCTTAGAAATAACCACATTTCTGTACGCCGTCACGCCGAAATCTATGCGATAATATCAGCCACTCTGTTTTAATAAACCGCCAGCTTATAATGGAATGAATACATTATATCGACGTAACATATTTGTAAAAATTTATTTTAGTAATAAGGCTCCCGATAAGTTACACTGTTCAGCTTAAAACAACTAAATTGAAGCGACAAAACCCTTTCCACATCTAGAAGAAATCTCTGCTAAACATATAAATTGAGTCAGGTGTTTATTGTCAAAGATTAATGCAAAATGTCTAGAACAAATACCTACCGTAAAATAAAGCTTTCTTTGTATCGCAATCGTTCTAAAATATCTTAAAAGTCGTATATAACTGGATGCAACGGCACAACGAAATCAGTCAGCGGATGGTATTTACAAAACACGAATTGCAGTAATTAAACGGAAGCAGAACAGCTGTCCCATGTTTCCCTACAGACAAACGATACGCTTTCACATAGAAATGATTTCGTATTTTAGTTTCGACTTGACAGTTTGCCCGCAACTGCTTGTTTTTATTGTATAAGTCGAAGACTTCAAGGTCCTGTTTTTAATTAGTAATGACTTTCAATTTGACTTTGCACAACTGTCTTATATTTTTAATATCCTAATTTCGAATTTCCTCTTATGTGGAGGTTGACAGGATATAGAACTAAGTGGTCGGTTGTTTGAAACCATACCACCACCGTACCTTCACTCATTTCACTTTTATACGATGATGTTGGGTGTTGATAAAGCCTATCTTCAATGAGATTCACAGTCGTTAACGAACAGAAAAAAATAAATTTAGTTTTTGTGATTGATGTTGCCACACATATAAAGTAAAAGCTCGACGGCGAAAAAAATGTACATCTGATGGAAAATATATTTTCTAAAAGACAACTCAGAGCACCCCCACCGACTCACTCCCTTCCCCACTGTACCCAATGAGCTCTCATCCCGTGTGGTTTAATACGCATGTTTAACATTAACGACTGACTTCGTTGTGTACACAGTCTAATTGCTTTCATGTTTCCGTATGTACCCGCTGCTCTTCGACCGGTCTCGACAACTAGTTAAAGATGCCTAACCGGCTGTCACGACTGTTAATATGGTGATCATTGCTCAACAGGAACTAATTTTTATCATCTGTTTTAGTCTTTATTAATGTTTATTGCTGTTCACCATGGCGGCAGTTTAATAAACGACGCTATGACCTTATCTCGGTTATGGATCCTTACTTTATAAACACCTTTTGATCATTCGTTACTAATCTTTCTAACAGAGTGTATATTTCCATGTAGACTTGCTCCTGGCATTAGCTTATGGCATTCTGATACCACATTTGTTTCAAATGAATATAAAACTCATAACTGTATATAAGGGTAGACTAACATTTGTGTAAAAGCAATAATTTACATCTGTGTAAAAGCAATAATTTAATATTTGTTATGTACAATTGTCTTTTGATGTAAGATAGGAGCCCAAACTTCTTTAGTTATAATAGAGAATATTTAATACTACATCATTTTCTCGTACATAAGGGGCGGTGGGGTAGCCTAATGGTTAAAGCGTTGGCTCGTCACGCCGAAGACCCGGGTTCGAATCCCCACATGGGCACAATGTGTGAAGCCCATTTCTGGTGTCCCCCGCCGTGATGCTGCTGGAATATTGCTAAAAGCGGCGTAAAACCAAACTCAGTCAGTCAGTTCTCGTACATACCTCGCATGGTCACCATGATGTCCCTGAAAGACTGTTAATAGCAGCGTTAAAGGCAATTCATCCACTCCTGTACCTATAAACTAACACACGGTGTCAACTATTCCATTACACACTACATCAGGAGGAAATACTGTAGCTATACTGCACTGTAACCACTTTTAACAACTGGTCCTGTCTTCTTAATCTAATTAATATAATTGAAAATCTGTTGAAAACATGCCCTGTATGCTTAACAGTTAAACAACCAATTATGTACGGCTCCCAACAGCCGCCATTTTGTGTTGTGTCATGTGATCGTCACGTGAACGAAACCAGTTCCCGTCAGTCATGGCCGGGGTCCCACAGGACTTAGACTAGACTAAGGCTTAGTCTCTGAATATATATAATTTTGATAGTAACAAACAGGCCCATTTAAATTGAAAAGGAGCCTTAGGGAGACCAGAGATTCAGAACCTGAGGAAATCTGGACTTGCTTTATTTAGGGCTTTAGCACTGCAGAGAGGGCTAGGCAGTAGGGGAAAATAATGTGGTTCAGGGACTGTGAGACAGACTAGACTTAGACCAGCCGAGCACTGATATAGCATGTTCCATCTGGAGTGTGTAGACGTTATCGTTGAGTGAGGGAGCTAATAAACGTCACAGCCATACGGCAACGTTAGTCAAGCAGAAAGCCTGCGAAAGCCTGTATTCCTGAACATAATCTTCATATACCCACTTTCTCGGGATTTCCCTGAAGAAAACACTCAAACGTTACAGAAAACATGGCTTTGTACTACCTGTGCTCCTTTATTTCAAAACCCGTGAAGAATTGGTTAGAATTGGTCTTCAGTAAGCCATGCTTGTCGTAAGAGGCGACTAACGGGATCGGGTGGTCAGGCTTGCTGACCTGGTTGACACATGTCATCGTATCCCAGTTGCGTATATTGA